TGACTCAGTGACTAGGGTAATGAGGGTAGGTGTGCCAGAGGCAATTAAGGTTGGCACAGGGTAGAGCAGGTTTCAGAGCTGTTGTACATAGAGTTCCTATGAGTGACAACGACATATACAATATACATATTCCATTAGGTAAATCTGCTGTCAGAGACCTTTCCAGAGTACTGAGAAGTAACGGTATCAGTCTAGAGACTAAAGTGCACCCGATCAAGTCCATGGTCTTCACAATTACTTGCTATGATGCATCAGAGAACTGGACAATGATTAAGGATGATAGAAGAATTGATGCCTCTGAGTTGTAGTGCTGGAAAAGAGTCTTGAACATACCATGGACCACCAAGAAAAAAGTAGGTCTGTCTTGGAGAAGGTGAAGCCAAGTTGGAGGCTAGGATTTTGAAGCTTCATCTCACATACTCTGGGCACGTGGCCAAGAGGGACCAATCCTTAGAGAAAGACATCATGCTCTGAAGGGTGGAGGGACAGCGCAGGAGAGGAAGACTCAGATTGAGATGGATTGATACAGTAACTGGGGCAGTGGGAGTAGATGTATCAGAGTCAGTGAGACTGGTTCAGGACAGGGCAGGCTTCAGAGCTAGAGCTATGAGTCACAGGTGACTTGACAGCATGTAACAACTCTCTATACAAATTTGGGAGGCTGGTCTTTATGAAGAAAAATGTGGTATCAGGATTGGAAGAAGCCTCATCAATAACCTGCAGTATGCAGATGACACAACTTTGCTCACTAAAACTGAGGATGACTTAAAGCAGCATCTGCTGCAGAAGATCAAGAACTGCATCTCAACATCAAAAAAACAAAGATCTTCATCACTGGGCCAACAGTATCATGACAAATGGAGATAGGATTTGAGTTGTTCATGTTTTCATCTTGCATGGATCCACAATCAATGTTCTTGGCACCAGCAGTCAGGAAATCAAAAGAAGAGTTGCATTAGAATGATAAAGGGTAACAGTATCAGTTTAGAGACCAAGGTATGCCTGCTCCACGCCTGGTCTTCACAATTGCTTGCTATGCATCTGAGAGCTGGACGACGACTAGGAATGACTGACTAATCGATGTCTTTGAATTGTAGTGCTGGAGTACTGAACATACCACAGGCTGCCAAGAGAATAAACAGGTCTGTCCTAGAGAGTCAAAGCAGGCTGCTTCTTGGCGGCAAGGATTCTGAAGCTCCATCTCACATACTTGGGCACGTAGCCAGGAAGAATTAGGTCCTTGGAGAAAGACATCATGCTTGGAAGGGTACAGCGTCAGTGCAGAAAAGGAAGATCTTGGCTGAGATGGACTGACACAGTGACTATGGCAATGGGGTCAAATGTGTCTGAGACTGAGAAGTTGGCTCAGGACAACAGTGGTCCAGAGCCATTGTTCAAATGGTCTTTGTAAGTCATAGCTGATTCAATGGCACATAACACTACCCGCACATATATACAATCTACACACACACACACACCCAGATTGTGTGCACAGTGTGCAAGGTGTCCTTGATGGACTGCTAAGTGAAAAGGACGCAGCTGAATCAATCAGGTGATCTACAGGAGATGAGGCAGGCAGCTTCTCGCCTCAGAAGTCAATGGAGGGTTGCCAGGAGTTGGAATCACCTTGACAGCAAGTGTGTATCTCACCAGTCCTGCTCCTGTAGAGAACCTAGCCTAAGACAGATAGTTTATATGTTGCTGATGCTCTACATTTTGGTGGAATTTCCACACCAGATGAACTAGAAAGGCAGGCCTGGCAATGTGCTTCCGGAATCAGTGAAAATCAAAGCTCTAGCTCACAGCAGTGTAGTCGGCAGTCAGTCCTCAGGATGGCATAGCACCAAGTACACAATGCATAAGTCCATTGTGCATGGGGTAGCCATGAGTCGAGGCTGACTCGACGGCAGCTGGCAAGCTCCAAGAGAATGCCAATGCTATATCTGCTTCTAAATCAGACCTCTGAGGAGGAGTCATGCTGTCAGACATCACTAGCCCCAGGAACCAGAATTCTTAGCCAAATATCTCTATGCTCACACCAACTCCTTGCTGCCTTTCCAGGCTTCCTTCTACATGGCCTGAGGTAGTCTACACTCTTGAAAGCAGGCAGAGCAATAAGAATATTCTTTCTTAAAGGTAAGGAAACAGTCCTAAAGAGATTATGAGAGGTCAAATTGCCAGTGAGGAAAAAGGTGGGAGCCCATTCCCATTTCCCTGTAAATTGTCTGGAGGGCCTAGAGCAGACCAGGCCCATTAGAGGACCAGGGAGGCTGTGGGCCAGCCTCCCAGGCCTGTAGAGGAGCCACTGTGGTAGTAAACGTCACCAAGTCACACAAAAGGTTTTATTGGCATGTCTCAGAGGCCCTCTAACCTAACCAGGGTTAGCTACTGTACCCACCTGAAAACAGTTTACTAGCTTAACATGACTAAACTGGCCTCGGGATAGGTTCCTGGCTGACGTCTTTGGCTTGCCCTGGTGTGCTGTGCATTTTCTAAGAAGCATTCTGATGGCAGTGGTCAGAACAATGTTCATGCCTCTCAGGTGAGCTGTGCCCTGTGTGAATTAATATAGCTGGGTGAGCATGGGGAAATGAGAAAGGGGAGAAAGGATCAATCCTTCTTGTTCTACAGGGTCTCTTAGAAAGACTATCACAGATAGAATGGACATAAGACAGCTGCTATGTAAAGCTGAGAGATGTCAATAAAGAGAAGGTATTCAACCAGTGAAAACACACTTAGCCCACACAATCTGTAAATATTTAACCATCTGGAATGGCAAACACTGCTTTATGGCATGAGATAAATGATAATGTACTAAGAAGTGGAGCCACTTTACAATGGGCCTAAAATAATGACGACAACCATCAGAGATTTCCTTCGTGGAAAAGGGCATGCCAGTTAAGAACACTGTGGGCAGACACATTCTTTTCAGGGGAGGCAAGAGCACAAGCCAGGGTGTTCCCCCGGGGGAATTCTGCTCATGGTATTAAATGTGGTGTGTCTGCAGGAGACTTACAGGCCAAGACTCAAAAAGTCTATTTGGCAATGAGGCCAGAGGGTGTGTTGCCAAGAGAGCAGAATTTTCCAAAACCGGAGCCAAGACCAATTGTAACAATGGCCAAGAGAAGCAGCTGGCTTCCTCTGAAGATGAAAACAGAAGGAGCCTCTAAAAATAAGGGTGGAAAAGAAAAGTCGTTACTTTGCAGTCCAGGATCTGATACACTTACACACACACACTTATACACACACACACACACACACACACACACACACACACACACGGAAATATGTTTTCAGAATAAAACCAACTTGAGAAAGATCCCTCCAGAGTCCCCTGTGGACCCTCTGTCAGGCAAATTAGCTGTGCAGGGCACCATCACCTGAAGGGGTGGTGGAATGACCAGGGAAAAGGATTGTCAGCAACCAAGTCCCACGAAGAACAATGGACCTGGCTGTGTCCTCCTAAAGGTAAAAAGGCAGAAAACTAGTTTTATCTGCAAGAAAATGTTTATTCTTTTGAACCCCACAAGAGGGAGTAAAAAAAAAAAAAAAAGAATGCAGCCAAGACCAAAATTTTACGAAAGTAAATGTCCCAAAAGGCAGCAAAATGGGGGGAACCTCAACACAAAGTCAGTGACAATTTTCCATGTTTTTGCACAAAGATGAAAAAAAAAAAATAGAAAGGTGACAATTCTGAGTAACACTTTCTTGGTGACAATTACACAAAAGGACTCAAAAATGCAAAATGGCAGCAACATGCACACGTGGCTAGAGCTAGGTTTTTGTTTTATCCCAAAATAAGGTCTGTGATTAAAATGATTCTTTGTAATACTTCTATTTTTTCAACTTGTTTGTCCTATACTTCATTTGCTTTAAATGATATGTTCGTGCCAATTAACAGGAAATTTTAGAAGAACTGTGTCCTTCCAGAATCCATTACAAAGAAGCAAAACCCAGTCTATTTGCTTTTTCAATTTTGCTAATTTCCAAAGAATTCTGATATGCCTGCCCTCTCTGAGCTCCTGCCCCGCCTGCCTGGATTCTGAAACACTTCCAGAAGTAGCAGGTGCAGACACTTTTCCAGTGATGGTATAATACAATTTGAAACAGAAATCTTTGTGCAGAGTTTTGATCTAAAAACTTTCAAACAACCAACCAACCCCCACTTAAAAAAAAATCCCTCCTTGGCACAATGGCTGAAAAAACAGCTTTCTCTCAATCATCAAACATAAGACGATGGAAAGGAGAGAACATAGTTAAATAAAATAATTAAATTAAAAATTAAAAAAAATATATCTTTCACTAGAACCACGGCTTTTATTTAGCCATTAGCCCAGTCTCTCATAACCAAACACTGCCCGGCTTCCCCTCCCAAGGTGCTCTACTCCACACAATTACAGAACACCATGATGCTTCCTATTAAAAGTAACAGAGAAGATGTAACCTCGGTGGTAACAAACAGCCCAGCTAGCTACCCACCCTGGGACAGCAGGAGCTTGATACAGACAGAAGATAGATGATGGCAAAGGGGGAAAAACAGTTTAAAATGATCAAGTTTCCTCTTGAAATGTCTTTTCCCAAGGCACTGTGAACAAGACTGCTGCTGGCAATTTTCGAGAACTAAACACACCAATGGGAATATAAATATTTCAAACACAAGCCCTGTTATATTATCACAGGTCGTATCATCATTTAAGTCTCTTCTCTCAGCTTAAATGATGTTCCTTGAATTAGTTTGGTCCTTGGAGGGGTAATCAATTTTTGTTTTCTCTAGCATCAATAATCACTTTCTTTAATGCAGCTAGAACATCAATGCTGTGTTAAGATTATTTAACCCTTTTACTCTAAAAAGAAATGTTTTCACGAATGCATGTGAATCCAATGTGGATATTTTGCCTGCTTATTTGAATCAAAGAAAAATTAAGGGCTGACAAGCAAAAACTCTTTTTTTTTCCCTTCAAGAGGAAACCATGTAAGAATACATAAAAGGCAAAAGTGGCTACTTGAAATCCAAGAATGGTTTTAATGTGTTGGCCGAGAAAAATAAACTGCAAAGTTCTGTGAGGTCTTCTAAAAATTTACAAGAAAAACTGATGGGCAGTTCTAATTGGACTTGGATGGTCTCTCCCCACCCCACTTTTAAAAAATGACAACGTATATAGTCCCACAAAATACAATATAAACTTTTTTTATCTTGACTGCCAGAGACGCTCCTTTGTGATGCCTTCTGGTAACCAAATGGTTGGGTAAAACACAGCTGGCCTTCATTTCTTCAGGGGCTGGTAAACAGAGGCATTGGGATCAAGTCCAGAGGGGCTGGTTTCCACAAATTTGGAAGAGTAATGGGGGGAAACAGGGCTGAGGGGGCTGGTGGCAGCACTGTATGTTATGCTGGGCATGACGGCCATGACTTCGGCTATCTTCTGTTTTAGGTCCTTGATTTCCTGGTCTTTCTGAAGGATTTGTCCTGAAAGATCAAAAATCCATTGTTAGTGAGGAGAGCAAGCTCACCCAACATAGTGGCCCCTTGGGACAACCTGGGGGGCCTCGGTGAATGCCAACAGCTCCAGTCTGCAGGATTCTAAAGTTAGGGAAGCTATTCCCGAAAAGGGCCGGAATTACGAATTTTAGGCCTTGCAGGCCACATACTTACTACCTTTGTTGTTAAGAGTTTTTCCCCAACTACAGGAAAATGTCAAAACTATCCTTACATTCTTAACTCACAGATAGCACAAGGACAGCGGTAAGCAAAATCTGGCCTGTGGGCTCTGTACTTAATTGACTACTTTTTTTGAGGTGAAAAATTATTCCATCCAGGTGTGCCTACAGCAAAGAGCCATGTTTTAAGCATGGCATTCACTCATCACAGCCTCATAGTGGTGCTGATTTTGAATTGTGATTCTACCTCATGAACTGGATTTCTTTTTCCTCTGAGTCAGTCCAAGGAATATAGTACAAACAACATCTCACAATCAGTAAGAGAGGAGGCTCTCTCATGGGAAACAGAAGAAACGCTAAAATTGCTGCCCTGGGGTTCTCTGTGACCCAGACCACTTGACTGCCCTGATGGAGGAAGTCTCAGCTGAGCCACCCCGTCTGCACTTGAAAGGTAATGTTAACATTATCTCATTTAGCTTCACAGAGCACTCTTTCTTCCTCACTCCACTTCAGTTTCTGGATCTAACCAGCTCTGGCCTACCTAGGGGCCATTTCCCTTTCTGTGCATTTCTTGTTTGTTTCTAATTCCTCAGCAAAGCTTTCTGTGGTCTTTCTATCCTAGAATCTCTCCTCTTTCTAGACTAAATGTCCTTCCTGTTACTTCTTTGTAACAGTGACAATAATGACCATCAGGCTTTGTGCATGCTAGACACTAGTCCAAGTATGTCCTACACCACTAGCTCATCTGATTTCTCACAACTCAACAAATAATTGTTCAGTGAATGAAGCACACATCATTATCTCTGATTTGAAAACGAGAAAGCTGAGGCCTTACATGTTATGTGTCCTTCCCAAAGTCATTAAGTGGTAGAGGCAAGATTTGAATGCAGGACCACTTTGTTCTAAAATACATACAATTTTCATCAGGCTGCACAAAAAGCAATTCTCAGTTGTAGGGTTCTAGAAATGTAAATGCTCTACAAAAGCTTGCGTTTGAGTCATACTCATTTCGAAAATGCTCATGGGTCTACTGAAGACAGTGACACATTTGAAATGTAAAAGAATTTGGGCATTCCTTAAAGAAGATGGAGCAGAGATCAAAGTTATTTTGGAACCAAGATGAATAACATGATATATAAAATAGAAGGAGAAAAGCAACAAGGGGTTTGATTTAAATTACAAAGTTCAGTTTCTTACTAGACTATTCTGCACCTGAGGCAGGGGGGAGGTGGTGGAGGGCAGTGGTGAGAGCAGTGGACCATCCCTTTCTTGTTTCCTTTACGTTCCCTAAGCTTTAAATAAGCATCGAACACTCTCTTTCACTTTTAACAAAACAACACTCAGATGACTAAAATACCTATTGGCATCTTGTGTTGGAAGACATTACAACTTTCTCCATGTATATTTACATTTCATTCCTATTAATCAGTAATATGAAACGATTTTCAGAGTTTTCAAAGGGACAGTCTCTTTGCTTGTCACTTAAGTAGGATTCTTGGACTGACAGTGAGGCACAGCTGTGCTGGGAAGCTTATCTCCCCTGGCTACTCTGAGACCTGAGGCTACTAAGTCCCGGGGTGGGGTGGAGTAGGGTGGGGGGCTGTATCCTTCAGGTTTGTAAGCCTAAGTGAAAGGAACGAAGCAGGAGGGTGACTCCCGCCTCAGGAAGCAGCTAGCCAGGCAGGCTTTCAAGTAACCAGACAAGGTCAGAAGTTCAGCTTCAATGCAGGACTCCCTTGGGTCTTCTTAAGGGTCTCTCATAGCAAAGTGACTCAATTCTCAGCCCCCTTTTCTATTCTTGCAGCACTTAAGTTGCCCCAGCTGGTATGACAATTTCACTAGGGCCCAACAACCTCCAAATCTCACCCCTCACACCCAGAAATTCTGACCTCTCGCTGGTGGCTTAGTGAGTAAGGAGTTGCACAGTCAATCCAAAGGCACATGTTCAAGTCTACCAGTCGCTCTGTGAGAGAAAGATGGGCAACCTCCTCTCACACAATTTATAGCATTTGAAAACCTGCTAGAGAATCAGCTATGAGTCGGTTTCAACTCGAGGATAAGTAACAACAACTGGGGTTTGAGCCTCATGTTCTGCTGACTAATAGCCATCTCTCACCTGCGTGTCTGGGAAGCACCTCCTAATCAAACCGTTCAAACCAACTCATGCTCTCTTCTTGGCCCCTAAGCCTGCCCTGCTCTTCCTGCTTGTTCCAGTCATGTTACCTTCACAGCTCTCTCAGGCACCTCTATGCTCCTCAACACATCTGTCTGGTCCATTATTCTCCTCTGCACTCAACAACCTTTTGGATAAAAGACAGTTAACAACTTCCTAAATGGCCTCTCTGCTCCTACTCAATTTCACCTTTCAAATACATTTTTCACTCTGCTATTGCTACTGGAAGGAGATCATGCTCTTCTCCCCAAAAATCTTGGAAATATATCGTATGAATTCATTCACGTTTTCCTTTCTTGATCTTCTTCCACGTGTCCCAGCAGAGGTCACTGCTCACCTAGACATTCCTAAAACCTTCTTTGCATGCTCTTCTCCACTCTCAGAATTCACCCATGAATTTACAGCCCATACACTGCCCCTTTCTTCACAAAGCCATCCCGGATCTTTCCTCTGGCCTTTCAAAGCCCTTCTGCTTGGCCTACCCTACAGTATCAAGAACACACAAATATGTCTCCAAAGAAGTATAGCCAGAGCGCTCCTTAGAAACAAGGACGAGACATCAGCTCACAGACTGGGTATGTTAACAGGAGGGACCAGAGGAGGACTTCATATTTTGAATAGTGAAGGGTCAGTGAAAAAGAAGATTTTCAATGAGATGAACGAACATAGTGACTGCAACAACAGGATTTAACACAGCAGAGATTGTGATGATGGCAGCTGAACAGGTAGGGTTCATTCTGATGTACACAGAGCCACTGGAAGTTGGACTAATTCAAAAGCACCACCACCACCACCACTTTCACATTTGTGAAAATGTGGTCACAAGGTTGACAAAGTAAAAACTATTTTCATAACAATACTAAGACATTGTCGGCTTGCTTAAATTTTTTTACAAGTCTAAGTGGAGTTTTCCAGAAATTACATGACCCGTGATACCACAATCAATCAAATGTAGAAGCAGAGATAAGAAGTAAACTGCTTTCTAGTAAGCTAGACATTAAAGAGATTTTCTAAATGTAAAACAATGCCCTATAATTTTTAATTTCTAACAGAAAAATACTAATAGAGTAGACCAGTGATTAGGGAGTTGCAATGCCAACCCAAAGGTGGGTGGTTTGAATTCACCAGCTGTTGCACAGAAGAAAGATGGACAGTCTCCTTTCATGTGACTTACAGCCTCTGAAAACCCACTGGACGGTCAGCTATGAGCCAGTTTCAACTCAACAGTAATGTGTGACTTTAACAGATTTTTTAAAAACCTCTTTGGGGTCCTCAATAATTTAAAATTTATCTTGGGGCTCCCAAGATAAGTAAGATAGTGCACCAATTCCCTTATGAATAAAATACATCTCGTTCATCTCTGCCTCCCTTAGCTCCTAGTACAATGCTTTGCCCAGATGAAGTGTAAATGCTCTGTATCTGCTGAATATTCATTCTTTTTCTTTCTCCAAATCACTTGTTTGAAAATTTTTTCAGTAATTTATTAGTGACCAAACAGGGCTAATAATAATTTCCTGGACAAGTTCCACAGTTCTGGGGAGTGAAGAAGTCAAGTCACACCTTTCTTCAGAATCTTTCCAAATCTCTCCATGTCACTCAGCGTCAAGTCCAAAGTCCTCTCCTAGAACTCCTGCTACTTCTGATGCCAGGGATTTGTGGACATATGCAGGCTGCAGCCCCAAAGGCCCCATATACAACCTCTCTGGCTACTGTGAATGCTTCTACCTTACCCATTACTGTGTCATTTTCTGCTTCCTCCACCCGAAGGACTTTCCCCATACATTTATATGGCTTAATTACTCTCTTGAGTTTCTGCTCAAATACTACCTAAACAGTGACCCTATACACACACGTCATCACTTGCTTTCTTTTCCTCACTGCACCTACTGCTACTCAGCCTATTAAAGATAGACCTGTTCACTCCTCCAGTCAAGCAGAGACAGGTGCAGCCCTAGCCTTCTTGCCCTTGTCCTTGCATCCCTTGTTTCAATGCCTGTCTGTCCTCCAACTCCCACATGGCACTTCTTCACTGTGCTAACTCATTTTCATCACTTGAGACTCAGCTTGCACATCAGAGGTCCTGAGACAGGTCTAACTTCACAGCCTTGTCTAGTCCCTGCCTCTGGTTCGCATAGGCTTGGTACCTTCTGACAATACAGCACCATTTGAGGGCTGTGCCCCTGCATTTCCTCAACAACACTAAGCTCCCTGAGCAAAGAAACTCATACTCTTTTCTGTATACCCTACATTTAATATGTTCTCATTTCAAAGTGGGTTTGCAAAATGAATTAAAATGATGATTCCTAGATTTCAGTGTTGAGCACTTACCAAAACCACTTGAGAAAACGGAAAAGCCCTTTGGGTCAGAGCTCTAAGTGGTATGTTCTCTGTGTGCCTCCCTGTCCATTCACAGTCACACCATCTCACTTGGGGCTGTTCTTCTCTTACCTTGGGCAATCTCCAGCTGTCGCTTTGCATCCCCGAGTGCAGAGAACAGGTCCAGCTTGATTCTAGTCTCTGCACTTAGGCTGTTCTCCAGATGCTGTGTTTTATCTTGCATAGCTGAGAGGGCTGACATCAGTACCTCAGTGTCTTTCTCATTTTCTTTATACTTCCGAAGCTCCTATCAAAAGCATCAAAACAGCGACGTGAGGAGACAGTCGTGGCTCTGATGCTTGCACATTAGCCTGAGATCACGAACTAAACTCCACTGTTGACTTAAGGACCCTGGTGGGGTAGTGCCTAATATGTCCAGCTGCCTAGCCAAAGGTCAGCAGTTTGAATTCAATAATGGCTTCATGACTGAAAACCAGGCACTTCTTCCCATAAAGATTTCCAGCCCCAGAAACCCAACAGAGGGTCACTATGAGTCAGAATTGAGTCAGTGATAGTGGGACTGACTTAGGGAACCTTGGTGATGATGTATGACATGACTGCTAACTCTAAGGATGATGGTTCAAATTTACCAGTTTCTTTGCAAGAGCAAAATAGAAGTATCTTCCCACTGCCATTTACAGACTTGGAAACCTCGCAGAAGATCACTACTGAAGGGAATCAGCTCAACATCAGTGGCTCTGGTTTTGGTTATTACTGCTCTGGTCACTAGAATACAGCATCCTGGTGTTTTGTGGATTAAGACCTCTCCACTTAACAGCAGATACAAAGTTTATCGTGATATTCACATGCAAAAACATTTGAGGAGGAAATGATCTATACTGGGCATGGTGTACACAGCAACGCAGCCTACCTCAGAACCACAAGAATGCTTTCCGTGCTAGCATCGTAGCTGTGATATAGTCCAGTTTGTTAAAACCCTCCTCTCTACCCTCTCTACAAACACTGAAAACTACAAAATGTTATTCTGACCAGACATAATGTAGAAGAGGCCCACGAAATCAACTGGCAGCCCATAAATCAATACACAGATAATTTGGAAAAAGAAAGTTTTAAGAGGAAAAATGTAAACATTACAGATAATATACAGATAATACAGAGAGGCTCACAGAAAAACAATCATCCTAATCCCCAAATCCAAATACTACTGAAAAATTTTATCTATTTCCTTTTAGTCTTTTTAATATGGATATGTGCCTTTTAGCATATCTGAAATTACACAATGTGTACAATTTTGTATACAATTTTCAAATTACTTCTATCATTGTAATGATTTTTCTCAAAGTATAATGGTTAATGGCTACATATTCCTGCATGTATGTAGCAATCATTTATGAAAGAATCTCTCTGTGAAGACTGTCTAATTCTGCACTTAGATATGACTTGATGAACAACTTTCTTTGAACATCAATTATTAATCAATCACATCTTAAAATATTTACCACAGACTAGATTCCTAAGGTGTACCTATTCAGACCACAGTCTTTTCAATCTCTTGTTATATATCTGAGAGCTGGACAATGATTAATGATGACAGAAGAAATATTGATGCCTGTGAACAATGGTGCTGGAGGAGAATACTAAATATCACACTGACTGCCAAAGAACAGATGTTTCTCAGAGAAGGTGAAGCCAGAATGCTCCTTGGAGGCAAGGATGGTAGTGCTTCCTCTTGCATACACTGAGCATGTTACTAGGAGAGGTTACTCCCTGGAGAAGGACATCATGGTTGGAAAGGTGAAGGGACAATGAAGTAGAGGAATATCTTCAACCAGGTGGATTGACAGTGACTGCAGCAATGGGCTCAAGTGTCTTATATTGTGACAAGAGTCCTAAAAGGGTGGCTTTTAAAAAAATTTGAAAATGGCTTGTCAATATACATCAAAGATCCTTTAAAAGCGCATGACCTTTTCCAGTAGATTATACTTCCATCAGGAATAAATAAGGCCTATTGCATCATTTATCAAGGTGAATGTTATTTAAAGGCATCTTCACTAATATCAAAGGAAAAGAATAACACCTGATTTTACTATGCTAAAATGACTGATAAGATGAGAAAAATACCTTTTCATCAGTCACGTGTATTTCTTCTGTGAATTATGTGTTCATGTTATTGAGTTATGTATACACTGAGAATAAGGTATCTGCTGCACAATCTTTGGTTGTATCCTCTGAAATTCATTATGCTTCCCTCTTTGGAATTTTTTCCATCATTTTATGTAAAAAAAAGTATTTTCCTGCTCTAAGATCAAATAAATTCAACTGTGCTTACACTTGTCTTCTTTTTAAAATTTTTGTCTTTTCTGTTTTCAACTCTTCATCTGACTTTCCTTTTGTGTATAGTCTGATATGAGTGCCTAGTTTTAGATTCTTCTTTTCAGTTACCTGGCTATCTCAAAGCCTTTTCCAATGACTCCTGGCTTTTCCATCTATTTTTGATGCTGCCTTCACTATATGCGTTAGACTTTATTTCTAAATCATCTATTCCACTGCACTGATCTACCAGTGCATATATTTACCAGTCCCATCAAAATCCGGCTGCTCCTGAGTCAATCTGACTCACAGTGACCTGAGCCTGCAAGCACATCTGCTTCTCAGAGTTCCCCAGGCCGTAAATCTTTCTAGAAGCACAGCACCCCATCTTTACCCAACAGAATGACTGGGGAGTTCAAACTTTCAGACTTATTTTTAGCTATCAATTGCTTAACTATTAGATCTCCTGAGTTCCATTTACTAGTTCTACCACCTTATAATATATGGCACTGGTTTTAAATATATCCGTGAAGAGCCAATGCCAAGTTCTGGGTTAAAGTAAACAAACCCAAAAGAAGTACTCCCCCCACTGCACTGATACCATTCCTCACTAAGCACTGCTCAGAACCACCCGCTAGGGGCAACTCCTGGCCATGGATCAATCAAGGAGGTTAGGGCCAAGAAGAGATATGCAAATGCTGAAGGACGCTGAACTGGTCCACTTAACCTGAAAATATGGTAGTCATCTGCAGTAAGTCTGATGCTGGTAAATAAAATGTATCAAGGCGTTGTCAACATCTGGTTATACAGAATAGGCCTTAAAACGAGTTGGAAAAGATTAAAGTTTTAAATATTTTTTCCACACAGAGCTTTTCAGGTGCAATGGGATTTGAAATGTATCATCCTCACATGCAGCACAGAGAAGAAAACTAGTAACAGGAGAAATTTTTAAAAGAGAAGTCCTTTGCCTGCTGGCTCCTGCTGCCCCCACATTACCTGAACTTTGAGTTCTAGTTCTCTGATCTGGTCTTCTTTCACCTTCATGTCCATTGTTAGCTTCTTGCCTTCTGCTTCTAGTTCTCTGATCCGATTCCGTAAGGTTTCGGTACACTCTCCCCTTTGGGAAAAAAAAAATAAATAAAAGGACTTAAAAGACTACATAAACTACAACTGACTCTCTTGTGGGTTTTCAGAGACACTACACTGCATGGGAGAAAAATGTCCACCTTTCTCCTGTACAGCAGCTGGTGGATTCAAACCCCACACCTTTGCATTGGCAGTGCATTCCTTACTACTAAGCCATTAGAGCTCCCTTAAAAGAGTATACATGTTCTCAAGATTGTGGAGCTTATATTACGTTTATGCTTGGTTTTGGATTTTAATTCAATCTGTCTGTTCTTTGCTTTATGTTTAATTCAATAATGACCTTAAAAAACTATTACTTATTGAATATCCAATATGAGCTAGGAACCAAGCTAAGTACTTTTACCTACACTAGTTCATTCAGTCTTTATAACAAATTTATAGGGTAGGGTGTACTATACCATTTTCCAGACAAGAAAATTAAGGTGAGATAGATACAGTACTAGTACCAGGTCACCTAGCTTGTAGATTTGCCAAGGTTGGCCAGCTTCCCAAGTCAGCAAGCTTTCCACCCAGCCAAGTGATTTAAGGCAATGAACACAAGGCTGGGCAGAACATATGCTGACCCAACATATGCTGTCTCCAGCAGGGGGCAGTGAGTGAAAACTTTCTGCCCTACTTTAGAGCAGTGGAGATCATAAAGATGGTGCAGAATAAGGCAAAGTTCAGTTGTTCTAGGGTTCCTATGATTCAGAGTTGACTTGACGGCATCTAACAACAAAATTTTCGAGAGATTATGCATTGGTCACTAAGTCACCACAAGCCTGAAGCTAAAAGTGGATTTGGGGTCGGGGGCAGAATAAACAGCATTAGGCAGCTTCTCAGAGATAGAGCAAGGAGAGCTGAAGATGATGGTGATGACCAGTCCAAAGCAGTTACAAGGTTTAGGACACAAAAAGCAAGCTTGGTGTGGAAAGCAGGTATCCTCGGCCTACCAAAAACGGAAATCCAGGGTGACCCGTAGTGCCTGTGATTTACTTAACAATAAGACAACCTCTACATGTGATGGAGAACAAGAACCATTCAAAGACAAGACGAAACAAATACGCTTAACTAGAATCCAAAGCAGCCAAGTGCAGGCACAGAAAGTAACTTAATGACTTTCTGGTATGAGAGACATTAAATAATAATAGTTAAGGGCACACTATTCCCTTTTCAGTGGATTTTTAAGTTGTTGCTAGGTACCATCAAGTTGAGTAGGACTCATAGTGACCCTGACCCTAGGAACAGAAGATCTGTACTCTGTCCTATCCTGTGCCATCCTCATCATCTCTGACATACTTGACTCCATTGTTTTTAAGTTTATTATTAATTTCAGTAAAAATTTAGAGACTTTGGATTTCCATTCATTCATTGTTGCACTTTTCTCCCCTCCCAACCCTCCCCCACCCCAGTACACTACCCTCTTGGAAAAGTAAAAGAAAAATTCTTTCATTGTTTTACAAACCCTCCCCCAGATCCACTCCACCATGCAGCCTTCCTCTAGACTCCTGTCATGACAAAAACACCTAATCACATATCCCTTTTAAACAGTTTCTCCCTCATCTGTTTCAATGCAATATACATTATTGAACCCATCTTTCTCAGTCTCTCCCCAAACCCGATGTCAGTCCTGTTTTACAACAGTGGCACCATGCAGTATTTGTCCTTTTGTGACTGAGATACTTCACTCAGCATAATGTCCTCCAGAGTCACCCATTTTGAATAATATTGCATGAGTTCCTTTTTTTCGATGCAGCATAGTATTCCATTGTGTGACTATATCACAGCTTCTCTATCCATTCGTTTGCTGATGGGCACTTACGTTGTTTCCAACTCCTTGCTACTGTGAACAAAGCTGTGATAAACATGGGTGTGTATATATCTGCTTGGATGTCAGTTATGGTGTCTTTGGGGTATATTCCCAGTAGTGGAATTGCTAGATCAAATGGTATCTCTATTTGCAACTTTTTGAGACAGCGCCATACCACCTTCCACAGTGGTTGCACCTTGACTCCATTGTTACAGTCACTGTGTCAATCCATCTCATTGAGAGGCTTCCTCTCTTTCTCGGACACCCCACCTTTCCGGGCATGATGTCTTTCCAAGGAATAGCACCTCCTAATAGGCTCCAAGTATGCGAGATGAAGTTTCTCCTCCTTGCCTCCAAGGAGCACTCCAGTTGTACCTTCTCCCAAGACATAGTTGTTCGTTCTTTTCACAGTCCATGGACTAGTCTCCAACACCACAACTCAAATAAACTGATTCTCTGTCATTTTATTCACTGTCCAACGCTCAGATGCATAACAAGTAATTTTTTAGGCCATGGTTTGGATCAGACACACCTTAAGTCTATAAACTGACATAATTTCATAGTTCCTTAGCACTTTAGAGACACTCCGGACAGCAGATTTTGCCAAAGCATTATGCCTTTGAATTTCGTTTTCTTTTTTACTTCAAATAATTTTATTTAATTCCAGATGGTAAAGAGTTCTGGGCATAACAAAGAATAAAGAGCAGATTCTGACAGTATTTTAGACTGTGTTTACTTTGACTGCACAGCTAAGTATGGAATGGCTGAGTGAGGACTGAAGAGATGGCCCATCACATGGTTTCTTTTTCTTCCCTGCTCTACAAAAGTTTATTCTTAAATGTACAAAAGGATCCAAGACAACACTTCATTTTAACTACTTACACATGGCAACACATATTGTAGCAGAGAATCTAGATGTTTTTAAAAGGAACAGAAGTAAGGTTCATCATTGCCTCAGTGTTTTTTTGTTGTTTTTTTTTTGCCACATGTCTTTTTATTATTAAACTAGCTTTTTACAAAATTCAAATACATTATTTTTCAGACCACACTTCCAGTTTCCCTCCCCCCTATCAAATTGTACAACCCCATGATTAATTTCCCCTCTCCTTGCACATCTTCACCCCTCTGCTGCCACTGCCCCTCCCTCCCATGGATCCTCATACTCACTCTACAATAATGGTTTTATACAATATTTGTCCTTGTGGGACTGAGTTAGTTCACTCAGCATAATGCTCTGCAGTTCCTCCCAAGTTAGGTAATAATTTACAAAATCATTGCTCCTGCATGCTTCGTAGTATTCCATTGTTTCAATGCACCATAATTTCTCAATCCAATCAACTGTAGTTGGACATCTGGGCTGTTTCCAAGTTCCTGCAATGGTGAATAACACTGCTATGAACAATGGTGTACAAATCTCCATCTGAGCCTCAGTTACCATTTTCTCAGGGTATATTCCAAGCAGTGGAATAGCTGGGTCATATAGAATTTCTAAGTTTAGGTTTTTGAGAAGCGCCAAACTGCTTTCCAGAATGGCTGTACCATTTTACAATCCCAACAAAAATGTATGAGTTCCTATCTTGCCATATCCTCTCCAACGTTTATTACTTGCTGTCCTGCTAAACTTTGCCACTGTTACTGGAGTGAGATGGTATCTCATTGTGGTTTTGATTTGCATCTCTCTTATTGCTCCAATGATCTGGGGCATTTTTTCACGTGTCTGTTGGCCATTTAAATATCTTCTTCTGTGAAGATTTTTTCCATGTCTTTTGCCCATTTTGTAATTGGGTTATCAGTCTTTTTTCTTGTGGAGGCCCAGGAGTATTCTGTAAACTTTCATTAGAAGACTCCTGTCTGAGATGACATTACCAAATGTTTGTTTCCAATCGGTAGGTGTTTTTTTGCTGTTTTTTTTTTCCGTACTGGAAAAAGTTTTTCATGCGCACAAAGATTTAATCTTTATAAAGTCCCATTCATCAATTTTATCCTCTTCAGATGGTGCATTTCTTGCTATTATTTGGCAGTCTCTTTATACCATGGACTAGGACTTCTAAGCTTAATCTCAATTTGTCTCTTATGAACTTTATGGTTTTGGGCTTTACCCTCAGGTCTATGATGTACCTTGAGTTGATTTTTGTTTATGGTGTGAGATGTGGATCCTGATTCAGCTTTCTGCAGGTGAAAGTCCAGTTTTGCGAGAACCATTTGTTGAGGACACATTTCTTAATTCCACTCGTAGTCAGGGGACCTTTGCCTGTGGTCTTCACCTTTAGCTCCTCAAGCTTCTTCTGTTTCCATTTTTATTTCTTGACAGTCTTATCTTTCCTTGATCTGCTTCTTGGACGGTTTCAGGAGCTTCTTCTTGCCATCTTTGTGGCCAGACCTGCCACTGAAAAAAAAAAAGACATCTTTTGATTTCTTGACTGTTGGTACACAGGGTGTGGATTGTGAATCCAAGCAAAATGTAATTGCTGACAACCTCAATCTTTTTTCCATTTACTATGATACTACCTATTGGCCTCATTGGTGAGGGTTTCGGTCTTCTTGATGTTGAGATGTAATCCACATTGAACAATATAGTCTTTCATCTTCTGCAACAAGTTTTTCAAGTCCTCCTCACTTCTAGCAAGCAAGGTTGTGCCAGCTAAATGATGCAGGTTATTGATGAATTTTCCATCAATCCTGATGCCACATTCTTCTTCATAAAGTCCAGCTTCTTGAATGATTTTCTCAACATACAGATTAAGTAGGTAGGAAGAAAGAATATAGCCCTAAAGCACACGTTTTTAAATTTTAAGCCCTGCAATCTTTCCTTGCTCCATTTTCACAACAGCTTCTTAGTCTAGGTACAGGTTTCACATGAATATAATGAAGTGTTCTGAGATTCCCATTCTTCTCAATGTCTGCCATAATTTGTTCTGATTCACATAGTCAATTGTCTTTGTATAGTCAATAAAACACAAGCAGATAACATTCATATGTGTATAATGTATCTGTTACTATAACTAATATTCAGTTATAACTAATAACTACTATTTGCTATTATAATATTCAAATATATGCACCAACAATTAAAGCCAAAGATGAGGAAATTGAGGAATTCTATCAACTTCTGCCATCTGAAATTGACTGAACACACAATCAAGATGCATTAATAATAATGATTGGTGATTAGAATGCAAAAG